AATAACGTCGATATGCGACAACAGCTAGCGCTAAATCCGAAGCCAAAATTGATTATATTGAGTTTAATTTCCAAAGCGTTTGATGAAAACGAGAAATACGTCAGGAATTTATGCTTAAATTTGATTTACTGGAGCGTTCGCCGTCGTTAAATGGTCTTCTCTAATTTATAGTACCAAATCAACACTAAGAATCTCCCTTAGGGAAATATTAAACGAAAAGATTTGTTATTGTTTTCTAAATACGTTATTTTAGTTTAAGAATATCATTAAGCACTTAACATATCTTACACTGTATAACTTTTAATAATGATGTCTGTAATTTAAAAAAAAAATGAATTTTTAGGAAGGTAATTAAGAGTGTAGTTTAGAACGTAATCTCTCCATTACGTATGGACTGTAATATTGCCTGTTAGTTATCTATAGTATTGTACGGTTTCATTATTTCAATCTTGAACTAATGTCGGTTGGCGTCATATTGACCGCATCCCCGTTTCTAATGAAAGCCGCATGTCCAGGATTAATATTAATGGAATAAACAATGTGCCAACTTGTCGTGGAGTTGAGATGTGGCCGACCCTTCTGCGTTTTATCACACTTCATTAAATAACCTTTTTGAAATCTATTTTAATTAAATGTATTGTTTGTTTATAGTATTCGATTATAAATCAGTATTAAGATTCTGATGAAGTCTTTTTAAGAGTGTTCAGAAAAGCTATCTTCTCAAAATTCCTAAAAAGAATTTCGATTTTATGTAGCCGTTGAAACTAAAACACATGATAATATTACCTAGTAATTGGGTAATAGTAATTCTATAATCTAGGAAGTTATGTTTGAGGCAGATTAGATTCAAATAATCCTATATTTACTTAAAAGGTTCATGTCATGTCACTAAGGTCAGTCTCGCAAGTTGTACAAATAAATTTCTTCCCCAAGTATTAAAACTAGGAGAGGTTTTTGTAAACATTTTATATTCATATTAAAATGAACCTTAGCATATGTGATATAAATATATCACTTACCAATAACATGTTATCATTTTCACCTCAAACTTCAAGAACAAATTTATTGCTTATCAAGGAGGATTTATTTTTAATGACGTAGGGAGGTACCTCCCTGAGGGGAGAACATGAGGAATATTATATGAGTAAATACGAACTAGACATATACCTTTACAAATACAGAGATTTAATATGTGAAACATAGCCAAGGACTTTTATTTCCTACCCATTCCTGTTAAATATTTAATACAAATAAGGTCGATAACTTGTCATTATTATTTTGTGGGAAGGGAATTTCATTCCTTGACTATGTATTTGAGTATCGTACACATTACATGTATCAGTTATTGTTTCTATATCACTGTCACTGCATGTTATAACTGTTTCGAAATAGCCTCCAATATATGTATTGATTCCTCGATATCTATTGTGGAGTCGGGTTTATGTAACAGACTCGAACAATAGATACGTCCTGCGAATATAGACGTTTCTCTCGACGTCAAACTACACACTGCGATAAGGAAACCGTCTTGAATAGCGCTATATACGAGTAGTAATTAATTACTTCACTGTTTACAAACAATAACTATAAGAGTACAGGCGGTTACAGAGGAACTAAAAATGTGAGAAACAAGAAAGAAGAGGAAAAAAGAAATAAAGAACAAGGAGAAAGAGAAAAAGAAAAAACTTTTTCACATTATCTAAATATCTCTGTCACTTACAGAAATAGATTTAATCTATTTATGTTTTATTTACTTTCTAGCTATTGCTAGAAAGATCTTCGGTGTGGTAAATAAAAAAGTCTGGTTTAATTTCACGCGTTAAGCTACTTTCCATTAAAAATCCTGTCAAAACCTGTCTAGCCGTTTCTGAGATAAACCTAATCAAGCAGAGACTTACGGACAGGCAGATAGAATTATTAGTTTTTAGTTTTATTAACTAAATAGATTATTTAATTTCATGTAAGTGAAATTGAAAATGTTATATCGTTACTATAAAGCAGAGTTCGCTTCGAGCAAGCAAATCGAGACGTTGCATCGTGTCAATTACCATGCGGTGTATATTCCAATTAATTTCCTTTGATCACTATCTTGTGTCGGTTTAACGTCGATGTGAAATGTTTCGCTTTGTGCGAGAAATCGAGCAATTTGCACTTTCTTCAGACTTCAAGATAATAAGCCAATTAATGTTATTACATCAATTTTAATATTAATTTAGAGTGTGTTAGGTATTGTATCATTTCATTACTTTTTATATCAATAATTCAGTACTTCCGACCAGCGAAAGCGACTAGGAATATAAAAGTTTTAGGTACAAGTGGAAATTGCATTCTTAAACGGAGTTCTTTGTATGCAGTTGCAGACGGGAACGATCGGAAATGCGGTCAAATCTTCCACAAACGACGACAAATCGCATTTACGGAGTCTCTGATCGCAGCAGATTTAAGCACACAGTAATAGGATTATGAGGTATATATGCAAAACAATACACTCTTTACTACTAACAATGTAATTAATATTTGAGGACAGAATATCTAACCAGCAAATTCCAATTAGCATGATTTTTCCTTCGAAAGGCCGAACCAGTGTTTATAAGTCGAAGTCTATTTCTACGCACTACTCGATGAAGTCGCGGGCTCCAGTGTGTCTTCCTTGTTTATGATGTCTCTACCAATATTTATCATATCTGAGTCCAGATGATTCATTCAAATATAAGAAGAAAAAGGTTATGAAGTAGTAGTTAAAACATTGCGCTATGTTGAAGAATACAGTTAACATAGCCATAGCATAATAACATAAACTGGATGATATAATATGCTACATAGGACAAAACAATTCTCGTATTGTTTGTATGAATAGGTGCGGGTGGATTTCGCGCGTTCAAAATAACAGCGGACGCGAGTTAGCCGGAATATAAACTAATATTATAAAGGGCTAAAGTTTGTTTATTTGTAGTGGATAAGTTCAGAAACTACTGAATACGTATAAGTTGTTATTTCAGTTTTAGCAAGCTTCAATAAAACAAAGTTTAGAAACAAGTTGTATTGCGATAATATTAGAATTACTATGTTTTATTGAGAGACTGTAAATAAAAGAGGAAAAGGGAGAGCAAAGCTCATGTAAACTCTTCTAATCGTTCTTCTACACAACATGTAAAACCATCATCAATTTTGAAATAAGTACTCAAAAGTTGGTCAAATAATTTGATAATTATTATCAAAATAAGCTTGTATAGAGACTACCATTGTAGACAGGAGCTTACAAGAAACAATTTGAATGCATATTAATATGTTAATGAGGATTGAGTAGATAATTTTTGAAATAGTACAGTCTGCGGCAGCCGCTATAACTCAGGTATTACCGGGCTTTGTAACTTTATATCTATGAAACCCACGCGAGAAAATAAAACTATCAAAACTGTTAGATTTTTTTTGTTCAAATGTACTACGGATGTTCTATCAAAAACGAACGTATGTTTAAAAGTGAATTCAGAAAATTTGTTTAGTTTTGTTTAAATGTTGGAGTTAAAATGATTTAGAACACTGTTATTAAAACGTTACATTTAAGTTTACATAATTTTCCCTTAACAATATAAATATCCATTCCAACGTAAAAATTTAAATCCACGACTAGTTGTGTAAAATGTAACCTTAGAGAGCGGATTAGCTCAGGGAGGCGTATTTGTTTTCAAAAATGCACATTCGCCGTACCAGCTACGGACGGGAAAAAGGGGTTCAAAACGAGGTCATTAGTCTGCAAGTGTGAATTTAACACTTTGTTGCGATTTTTATCATATCAGTAAATTAGAATCGACTTATAATCACTTGCGTTAATTATAACATTAGTTACATACATACAAACATTTTAATCGTGTTAAAAATCTATATTTAAATTAATATGACCATTTACCATATAGATAGAATAATCGGAGACTTGTCTTTTTCCATGTTACATTGCAATTAAAATATGATAAAAGAGTGTTCAAAGTCTGAACCAATAGGCCATAGGTCATCTCATTTCTAGGTATGTCTGTACTTGCGCCTGAAAGTGACGCTTAGCCACTGGCGTTGCCTGAAGGGACAAGGGCTGTTGCCTCGCCCCCTTGAAATTATAAAACGTATACCCTATAGATCCACATAGATAACCCAAAAACCAATGATAACTTATTGCTACTTTTTTACTAACTAGATCTACCCTAGATTATAGTCTGACGAAGTTCTTTTGCTAATCCCAGACAAATAGCATCAATAATTAAAGGTCCTTTGAAAACGGACAATGAATTAAATTTATTACAAAAAGTGACGTTGCTATTTCATCTACCATGTAATAATTAAAAAGATATATAATTAAAGAGATAATTTGCTATCGCGCTGTTTTCGCTAAGTTCATGAAAAATAAATGCGAGAGATCAAGTTCAGTGTCACGTTTTCGATAACGAAACAAATACAATAAAATATCCATATTAAATTGCTTAGAGTACAAAAATAATAAATAAGCTTTAATTACAAAAGCTTATTGTGCAAACATTTTTATATAAGGTTGTTTCAGTTATGTAAATTTCAGCTACGTTTTAAAATTAACTACTTTTTAAAAGTTTGTTGAAGCTTATTTATATTTTTGTAATACAATATCGCAACGATTGTACTCTATTGTAATTGATATTAGGTCAAGTAGTAGAGTATAGTAATCAAAGTTTGTTTACTAACTAAAATATGAGCTTTCAGCAAAAGTCAATATCGTTACTTAAAAAAGTTCACCGTCACTAAAAAAACCTGTTACAATTACAATTAAAAACTTTGTATTATTTGCACAAGCATTTCGCAAAGAAAATATAAAATCAATGTTACTTGGCATCCTTAAGACATTTGGTTTCCCGACGAATTTTCTCCACATTACTCTCCATTTCTATTTTAAAAAATTGTTTAAATAATCCAAAAAAATATCTGTATATTTTTAAAATTCGTTGTATTTTTTATTATAAATTTATAGTATAAAATATTACCTTGTTGGTTGAGTTGGTTGTCGGGAGCGGCGGGCATGTGGTATACGTGTTATCGCCACCGGTTGCACGCGGGTACTGTGCTTGTGCGGTGCGTCGTGCGACTGTACGACCGACGCCGACGTGCGACTGCGAACTCCTAGTGTAGTGTACAGGCGGTGGAGACGCGAACGAAACCGACCGCTACCCGCCACTCGGCACTCCGAGCTCGGCGCGCACCGGGCTGGATGCTGTCCCGCTAGGGCTGGCCTCTCGATAAAAACCTCACATCTGACCTATTTATCAACAATGCTTATCTTCTATTTAATAAAACACAACTTGTGTAATACAATAAAATGTACAAATAAAAGGTTTTATGTATTCAATTCCGATTTTTTTTGTTTTGAACTAACATTCCATTGAGTAAGAATTTGAATGATTTGAACGTATTACGAGGATAAACGTTTAGTTCCGCTTGCTCTATCTATTTTCTTTCACCGGCTTAAGAAATGTGGTTCCAGGACATCTTACCCGGAGCTCATCCCTACAGCCGACGCATGCGTGAAAGTCGCCTAAAAGATTGCCGGGTAGACTTACCACGTTGATTGATTCACGAAGTTGTGCGCAGGTTAACTCACCCGGCACGTGCCTTAAGTATCGTATTGCCAACCACAAAAGACCTACCCTCCCCCCTCGGTCCCTTTAAAGCTCGGCCAGATGGGGATTCCTGAACAAAAAAACAAAGTTCAACATACGCTGGTCCCCTTTATCTGGGGATTTGGTGCGAGCGCGCCATTTGTTTTGAGAATGGAATCGCAACTCGAGCCTCGAACGTTTTAGCGATACATCGTGCATACGAATACTAATATCACTTTATTATTTTAACAATTTAATAGAGCTTAAATAAAAAAAACGGATCACGTTTTATGAATTTATTAAAATATTGCTAAAAAGTAGAAGAGCATATGAAAAATATAAGTTTGCAAATGACAGTAAAAAACGTACAAAAATGGAAATGACACGCAAAAAATAAATGTACAAATGAGTAACTCAGCTTGATATACTATACGAGTATATCATTTAATAATCAATGTATTTCTGTTTTAGTATTGTGCCGAGAGAATTGAAACGGAAAAGCTCCTACGTTTCTATCATATGGGCAACAAAGTTTGCTAAAGCTGCAAGCTTCTTATGGGACAATGCACTTTGTGTTTCATACATCAGAGGTTATTTTGTACACGATATTCAGACAATCGACGGATCATTGTTACGACGCAACAGACTATAGTAATAGGATTAAGTTCTGACTAGGCTTTGATCTGTAACGTGAAACCAATACTGTTATCTCTTATTCGCAGCGTTCTCGTAACAACTTCACAAATAGTGAAACTCAAAAAAGAAAATGTACAAAGTTTTTGCTAATCAATTAAAGATTGTATACTATCAAACATTAGTGTCAAAATACATTACTTTGATTGAAAAGTGATCTTTTAGTGTTTTTTTTATCATAATAGGAACTTCAAATTATTAGCCGACTTACCATTACACTGGTCAATTAGGTCGCCGTCTAGGACCGCGCTATTTAGACCTTTGTTATTCATCGACTCCTAATTCGCATAGTATTGTGCCCAGAAATACTTAGATATATTGGAACCTTTGGAGAATTCTTAGGTTTCCTTTTCATATGCAATGAAAATTTCCTACGATCGTTAATTATTGTCAGCATGTGTTGATGGTACCTAATGCGTAAGGAATTGAGTAATATGTTTGGTCAAGTTTGGAGTGATACACTATAAAATCTATAAAAATAACTCGCGGGACAGATTAAGGGCGTGATTCAAAAGGCTAAATTTTAGAAACCGCACGCATAGTGGGGAGGTTCCTATTTCCGCAGCCCTGACCACTGCTTGCTTGAGTCTTTGGAATCCGAGCGTGGTGTTCTATTTTTTTATATTGTTTTGTAAACTTTGTTATATATTAAATACGACTATAAACATATACGGATAATAAGAATAACATAAGAAACACCTTTAGGTTAATATTAAAAAATGTTCATGAAACATTGCTGTTATCTGTGTAAAAGGAGCTACAATCTCGTATACTAAATTATTTTATCTGATCTCATATTATGTAGTTTGTACAGTAAATAAAAGTCGTTTCATCTTAACGTACAAACATAATTTTATTGAATTCTGTATAAACATTATGTATGTTATATTGCGAATCTTCTTTGAGAAAACGAAATGTTGAGAGTATTTTAGCATGTAAATATTACACGAAAGTAAATATGCCAAAGCAATTTATTAACATAAATATGAATTGGAAATACAGTCGAAATAAGGTATAACACAGTTCAATTTTATCTGAACACTAACTGTTCGCGTGCGGCTTTATTCGCATAATATTTAAATACTTTTTTTATTGTTTACATCTGTCAAATTATCAGTTGTGTGTTTCAAACCATGGCAACCTTGCTTCTTTGATGTTGGCAACAACTTATGGTCTCTTTCCCACATTAGGGTTTTTATCAAAATATTTACCCCTAAGTTTAACTGCGTGAAAGATATAGCCTAAAGCGTGACATAGGTGTAGGGCTTTTTATTAAATAAAGAATTATTCAAAAATATGCTGTAATTGCTGACATCTTACGCAACAAAGGAGTGTGTGTTTACGCTTTATTTTATTAGTATAGATTTGATGTCACGAAGGCGATGTCATGTTATTGTTTGACTCTGTATTATCTTTATAATTGCAGATCTTATTATTAATTAAAACCAATCACCTCTATTATTATAAAGATACATCACAATCCGTTTAGTAACGTAAGCTAATAACAAACGTCTATCATTGCTAAACTTAATATATTGTTTTGTAAAATTAATATAATTCAATACGAATGCTTGTAAGCATACGCTTTTAGTATAACACGATCTTAAGAAAGGGATATGAGAGTAATATTCAAGCGAAATCTATTTAAGAAGTCAAAGTAAACACACGTGGAAGCTGACACGCACCTTTTTACTTTCGTCCTAGTAATTGACATTTACCTTTAGGTCAAAAGTTTCTTACCCGAATTTTCTTGTCAATCATCTGACATTTGAGTAGTTAATTATAAGTTATTTCGTATTGTAAATTTATTAGCAATTATCATAAATAATTCTTTAAGGAAATTAGAGTGGAAATGAAGATTGTGTAATCGGTGAAAATAGGAATATGATAAGGAAACAAAGAGATTTTTATTTCCTTATCAGAGTATCCCTCGTTTGTTGACGTTAATTGGACTGTTACACCTGTACAGATGTACAGAATGTAACAGTCCAATATCCGAAACAAATAACGTCCACTGTAGCGAATGTGTTAATAAGTGAAGTGTACATCGATCGTTAGAGTAAACCTGACTATCTAGTACAGACAACAAAACACTGTATTACCACAAAAATATATTTAGACATTGTTTTGCTAAAACATGATTTGTGGTAAAGCCCTTAATTTTTAAAACTAAAATTTAAAATTCTGATAGTTAATTCAAAAATGTATGATATATGGGATGTATAAATCACAATTTATAGTTACACGGAGGTATGTAGGAAGTCATAAATTATGGGATTCATTAGGCGCCCGCTGACCCAGCCCCGGAGCGAGGAACTTGAGTCCTATCGATCAGAAGACGCCCCTGGGGCTTACTCCAACGAGCTCCGGACAAAAACTGCTTACGAATAGAAAACCGAACAGTTCATCTTTGCGACCTGACATAACTTTCCAATAAAAAACATTAAAAAAAATCTTTTTAAAGAAGCTGTTGCCCGCTTAGGATTAAGAAACTAAGCTTAAGCGCTAGTAGACAGTGAAATCTATTCCTATTTCGAATCTATACAAGATACGTTTATCCGTTGCCGAGTTAACTGGTAGCAAACTACCATACAACCAAACTTTCGTGTTTATAATATTAGGAGACTTCGATTTATCCGGTTTAAGCTAAGTTTCACACGAAACATCTCCCACATTATACAATCGGACGGCGGAGGTTTGTTCTAATTAAGCCGTGTGAACGTCAACATTGGTCGGCAACTGTCGCCTCAACAAGAATATTTACATTTTGTTTGCAAAACGGAAAACACAAAAGCCGTCTCTCGGTGTTTACGTTGGTCTCTCTGTGTGGCTGAGCTGTGTATCCATCCAATATATGGATCGACATATGGACTATACTATACTTACCAAAGCTATATTGCTTCCAGATCGGACGAAACATCTTACAAACTGTACTTCTAGTTACCGACGACATTCTTAAAATCATAATGATGACGCCCAACGAAAATACAATAAAAATCCTTTGTGATAAAATTGACCTCTGCAGAGATTTATTTCTAATTTTTTTTTAAACTATATTGTTAAATTTAAACAAAATTGTGGAAGATTTGTATAATTCTTATCAGTTAACTCAAATACTAGTAATAAGAAGTTGACTTAACATTCAGGTCAGTACCAATCGTACAAAGATTTACGTACTAATTGTGACAGTACTGAGGGACATTTAGTTAATGAGACTAGATCAGAGTATTGTGTAAACCCCAGAGCTCTAAGTAATCAAGTCGGTATTAGATTATTTGAGGAGTGACTAACTACTGTGTACTGTCCAACAATAACGATTGTGCCTAAGGGAAATGGTTCAAAAATTTACAATTATGCTTAAGTTTCTACTGACGAAAAACATGCACAAAAACATATTTTTTATCTTTAGTGTTTTCATAGTGTGCTGACAGTATGGTCTCAAGAACTCAAAGTAACGTTTTATTTTAACTTTTTATAAGCAGATTACCGGTAATGAATACCGTTTAGATCGTTTAGAAGTTTTTATAAAAGAGAACAATATTTTCCCAAGAATACGGCAATAAATCAATAAAATATCAGCAACACAAGGACGACACCTACTTTAAGATATTAAGGCTAAGTAAGAGGAAGATTATAATTTTCCCGGTATTGTATAAGCAGAGAAAAAAAAAACATTTTAAGCTTCAATTTGTATTATAATTTACGTTGCTCTTGTTGCCACGAAAATATTAAAGCTTAATACTTTGGAAAATTGTAACTGGAAATTCTTTTGTGATATTTTATATTTGCCCTCGGGACAACAAATATTCAGAATTTCGCGTAGCAATAACAAGGCGGGTCGCCGCATGTTCTATGTCATTTTTTATACATTGCTCGA